CTTACAGTTGAATGAACTCAATCAAAAAAGCGACCACATAAGTAGATGGTTTGATAAGCATTAGAAATGTCCTAGTGGAGGAATGAATATCCATTGGTCATGAAATGAATTTAGTTTCTAAGGAATTCGTATATGCCTATGTATATAAAAGAGTATTAGTACACTTTAGTAGGTAGCCAAGTGTTGGGATATTCATCCAATATCCTAAGAGAATTATTGATCAAATCCTATTGTTCGATTTCTATTGGTCAAAATTATGGTCGTTTTAACTGTCAAAGTCTCTGATTCTCTTCTGGTTTCGGACCTCGTACTTTCTGGATGCTTGTAGAATACAGGTTCTACTTCATATCATGTCTTCTTATTTTCAATTAATATGGGGGTTAGGATAATCGGATTTGAGTAGTATGTCGTTTCGCCGGATCATCGATCCTCGCTCTCGTTTCTCGACTAGGTAAATTCGTAATAGTTCAAGTGTATCAAGTCGACGTGTTTACGTGCAGGCGTAACACCAAGTAAACTCCTACTACTGCCTTCCTGTTCATATATTTAGTTGGATTTGTTAGCGTGTATAATGTTCAGATCTTGGTTCATTGTATATTATTATTCTGTTTTGATGAATTACCTACCATTCATCATGAAATCTAATTCTAGGCCACTTTATTCATATTTCATTGAGTACTTTTCTCTTCTCTTGTCTTTCTTCTTTTTAGTTGAAATCTTCGTTCAAATGTCAATAATTTGCTCAAACAATAAACATTATGAAAAAGATTCAGTTTGTGAATAACACATTATACATAAATATACAAATAATATTTTTAAATAATATTTTATTTTGGTACAAATTTTTAGAGCAAAAAAGAAAACATTTCTCATTTTAGGTAAGTTTGTTAATACATACAGAAGGAAATGATTAATGCATTTTTTCATTTGTGTTTATCATTTTGTTTGTTTGCGTAACTAATGTTTTCAATTCAATTTGTTTTACTGGACAATTAGCTAAGGATTAGCAGCATGGAATGTTAGCACCTCTCTCTCTCTCTCTCTCTCTCTCTCTCTATATATATATATATATATATATATATATATATATATATATATATATATATACATGTACATCGATTTAAGTTCTCACATAATATGAAGATAAATACTAGAATTGTAAAAGTAGCAGCTGTGGTATAATTGATTTATGCATAAACTGTATGACTTATGAAGAAAAAGTATGGTGTACATGATATGTTTAAAATTTAATAACTAAAAGGGAACAAGAAATGTATGCATCTGCACTGATCAAATCAATTTTCAATAATCTCAACCAACGTTTCATGTAGTTGGCAATTATAGCCGTATGGATCACAATGATATAGTTTATACACACTAGCACTGCAGTGAAGGAGAACACAGGTGAGGGCAACCAAATTGTATTTAACCAAAGTTATAGAGTTACTCAGTAAAATAAGAAAACCATATCGTAACCGTTAATTTGCAAATCTTCAATCCATCATCAATCCATTGTCTGACATTTCACTATTCATGCGTTTCATACAAATTCCATTGTGTTCCCACTCTTCCTTTCTTGATTTTCCCCCATCTTCTGCTGCCAGACATTACGTTTACACTCGCGTTATATACTACTTATAAGTAGCGCGCACCACAGTACTACTGATTAGCTCTTTTTACTACGAGATGGGGTGGCCGACCCCATGCTCAACCGTCCTCGTTGATCTCGTCTCGGGATCTGTAGTAGCCCTAGAGGGGCTATAGGTGGAGTATGACCAACAGTTAATGGCAAATGGTTCGTTTAAAATTGAATAAGAGGCTGAAATTTATCTTGTCTGTTGTAGTCACATAGAAACTTGGTTGAAATAATCTAAGCAACAGTAAAAACAAGCTAATATAATAATAATATACGATTGAAAAGACAGTTTACTATTATTATAAGAAGTTGCTGGACGCTCAAACAACTCCATTTAAAACATTACTTAATTGTGACTGAGCGCAAAATGTGAAGTAGTACTTTTTAATAATTACTCATAACCATCCAAAAATAGTGATTACTTTCCAAGAGTTAATTAGAAAAACCAAGTTTAGTAAGTGTTTCGTGCAATCGTATGATAATTTATCATGCACCAAGTAAAGTTGCTGAGATGAATTTCCAAGTTAAATGAACATCCAATGCATATACACATACTCATTGAATTTTATCAAGTTGTCTCCTCTCTTATCTCTGACATGAATGAATACCACTAGTCTTGATTATTTTATTAGAAAGTTAAGAATCTATTTGAAAACTATTGACTCACTAAATTCTATCAAGTGATTTCTGAAGGTTAAATGGTTTATCTTACAGCGGATAAATTCTTGAAAACAAACAATCATCAAAAAGATGTTTTGTTCTTAGTTTGAAAATTACAGAGTTACTCTGTAAAATTGGAAAACCATATCATAAATCGTTACTTTGCAAAATATCAGTTCATCATATCGAACTGGACTGTTCCTGCAGCAAAACATCAATCCATTGTCACTATTCATGCGTTTCATACAACTTCCATTGTGTTCTAACTCTTCCTTTCTTGATCTTCCCCCATCTTCTGCCTGCCAGACATTACGTTGTCACTCACATCATATACTACTTATAAGTAGCGCGCACCACACCATGAATAAGCTTGTGTAGATCTTCAACGGCTACAGCTTTCGCCTTGTTTTCGTTGACCAATCTATGATAAGGCTGAAATTAGCATCGCATTCTGTTATAAAAAAATAGATTTTTTAAGTTTCTACAAAACGGCTTTTGATTTATTGTAAGATTGTAATTTCATGCATGAAATCTGTGAACATCAGTGCAAACGCTTTGTTCTATTATTCATTTTTAATCTAGGTACTTTCTAATTGCCATGTTCAATCAACCTGGTCTTTGTGTTTTCATACAAGTAATATTAATAACAATAATAATAATAATAATCAAAAAACAGAACTGTGATGCAGCAACATTGTGATCAGTGATTCTGTTGATAGAAAAGAACACTTTTAACTGTGAATTTCAATTATTGTGTCTTATTATTATTAAAAAACACAGACAAATTGTGTTAAATACGCTTAATCTTGTATCTTTGTTTTCTAAAAATATATATTTTATTTGGAAAAAAGCGAAATTTTAATAATCTGAATTCGCATTACGGGGTTGTGAAGATTGTTAAGTTACACATTTTTGAAACCATGAACCGATCAATATTAGGCCACCATTAGAAACCTGGAAGCACTGGACGACTGTTTCGCCCTGGTATGAGACTCATCAGCAGAGGTTAGACTTTCGAGCACAATACCGAAGATCCTGCGTTTGAATCCTGCGGGGAACAGGAGTCATGGATGCGCACTGCTGATGAGTCCCATACCAGGACGAAACGGCCGTCCAGTGCTTCCGTGTTTCTAATGGTGGTCTAACATTGATCGGTTCATGGTTTCAAAAATGTGTAATCTGAATTATCTTATCATCTGAGTGATTGAAGCATTTGACTTTGAGCTAATTGAGTTATAAATTCAGCATTCCGTTTATTGTACTTTGTTTTTGGTTGCCTTGGTTGTACTATTGGTGATATAAACCATATGGACACATTCACGAATATACGTGTACTTTGTTTTTTAATAACAACCTATGGAGATTGTTGTTTTACATTCTAATCGTAAATTATTCGTTGTTAGAGCAATATTAGCAACCCGGAAAAACTGTTTAGACCGCCGTTTCATCCTACTATGGGACTCTTCAGCGGTGCGCAAACATGACTCCTGCTCGCAGGAATCGAACCCAGGAATTTTGACTCCCCTCGCGAACACTTAACCTCGGGACTAATGAAAAGCCGTAACCAGTGGAAATCAGCTCTTTCAGATGTAGGCAGTAACTACCGAAGACAATGTGTACGGTTGCGCAAAATCCTTAGACTGACCAAAGTTAGACATTACTGCCGTTGCATACCGCCTCTGTGGTCTAGAGGCTAGGCATTCGCGTATGGGGTTGAAGTTCCTGAGTTCGATTCTCGTCGATGAGTTCCAATACTATAGCAAAACGGCCTTCCAGTGCCTCCAGGTTTCTAATGGTGGTCTAACAAAGATTGACTCACTATTCCAATATACTTTGTTTCTGAGTCACATTATATAGTACATTCACTTAAACACTAGTCAACTTTAACAAGTAATATACTGTTCTTGACGAATAGAAGACGTTCAAGGTACTGCTTAACCTCACCTATTTTCTACAGTAGGTAACTGTTGACAGAGTTGATAGATGGCAAACTATAGGTTTTGTCTCGTAAAACGATGACCTCTATGACAGGACAAAGATTGTCATTTTATTTCAAACATCCATTTATATACGTATAAACGTACACCGCAAGGCAGATCAATTACGGTTGTCCAAAAATAATAAGACTAAAAGTACTCAAACAATACACAGTTTCTATGAACAAGTAAGACTTTAGCTCACAAAGTTTGTTACCACCTAGTGAAACAGTCCCTCACAACAAGGATCATTTTGGCTGATTACTACAGTTCGACGAGAAAGATAGAGGTGGTTAGGAATTCAGAAGATTAGAATTTGAGAAAAGATGAAGAATGGATGAGCCTGGGCCATTTCAAATTATTTTTCAGCCACTTTATTCAAAATCTTTACCAATCGGTTACCATCATCTGGCGGACCCCTACTAGGTAGTCTTCTACACTTATCAACACAGCTCAGTCCATTTGTTAGTGATTTCATAGATTTGTGCTATGTTTTAATGCGGCTGCCGATCATCATCGCTCATTGGAGCAGTTGGTTGTTGAGCGTGTGTGACAAATGTCCCAACTATATCACATGAAAATTTGCTTGTTTTAATTAAAGAACAACATAAAACTGTAGTCAATGTTTATGATTTTTATTTCTCGAGAAATATAAAAAAGAAATATACAAAGAATAAATGTCAATAAAATTATTAATAATAATATTAGTAATAATGAAAATTAGTCAAAAAGTTTTGTCAAAGACAGACAACGTTTCATTGAAACTACGTTATTATTATTACTATAAATAATTTTTATAAAAACAATGACAGACTGTATAAAAATTTTGTTAAGAATAGAAAAGGCGAAAAAGTGCATAACAAATGAACAATACAATAAAAACAAAATTCTATTGAATGAAAGGTTAGCTAGTTAATTTCAGTGTATGTGTTAATCGAAATGGAGAATACTCAAAAGTTTGAATCAAGCCACAATTTCCAGTTGGAAATCATTTTGCCGGACCTAGTGAGAACAAGAGAGATGAAACGAAGGAAGTAACTAACACACACAGAGAGAGTGCGTGTGTGTGTGTGTTGGTGTATTCAAAGTTGGTCTAATGTTTCCTCCTCTGGATTTTAAATATTTACGAAAAAAACGATATGAATATTTGTTTACTTTTCTATTGTTCATTGAAATATACGCTAGATACTACTGTTTACAGGAGTCGTGATAGTAGTATATATATATATATATATATATGTATATAGATGCAGAAGTACAACTATGTCTCCCAGGCTGGTTGCAGTACCAGTAATAATATTCATAATAATAATAATGACCGATAGTAATAGAAAAATAAAATCAATTGATTATTGATTTTCTCAAAAACCGAAAGATGGAAATCAATAATGCACTGGAAAAACCAAACAAAAAAAACTGTCGAAACACTTGAATACACACACACACCTTATTGAATTGGCAAGCCGGTTGTGCTTGACATTTTATCACAGATAAAAGAATAAAAATACAGAAAGAATTCAAACTATGTAGTTAAGAAGTGTTGGGTGTAACACACTGGGCTTTTTTCTTCATTTTCTGACAGCAGCAACTGTAACAGCAGTAGTAATAGTCCAATGAGTGGGCTAACAGATAACAATATCAGTCAGTAATTAATAAAACAGTTTGGCAGAAATATTTCTAATACGCTGACAATTGTTACTGCTAATAATAATAATAATAATAATAATAGTAGTAGTTGTTGTAGTAGTAGTAGTAGTGGTAGTAGTAGTGATAGTAGTAGTAGTAGTAGTAGTAGTAGTGATAGTAGTAGTAGTGATAGTAGTAGTAGTAATAGTAGTAGTAGTAGTAGTAGTAGTAGTAGTAGTAGTAGTAGTAGTAGTAGTAGTAGTAGTAGTAGTAGTAGTAGTAGTAGTAGTAGTAGTAGTAGTAGTAGTAGTAGCGTTTATCGATGTGTGTATCAAACAATTAACCAGGGAAAAAAATTGGAAAAACTTGGCATCATGAGAAGAAATGGTTAAACAGTAGTAGAAGTTGTACTGTGTAATCATTATATAATAATTAGGAAGGCAAAAAATTAATTGTAGAGTATTTGTCGAAATTGTGAACAAGAAAGATAGAAATTCATCAATGATATTGCATAATAATATGAATTATCTTGTACGTTGGTTTTAATTGTTTTACATACTACTAAGCTTTGAATAAATGAACACAAGCATCGTGTAACGTTTTGATTGTGTGCTATTTTTTTTTGGTGGAGGGTATGTTGAATAATCTAATAACCAGTGGTTGGAAGACTCTAAATTCAAAATAAAAAAGAAACAATTCGAAATAGATCATTCAAGCGATCAATGGTGGATATACTACTCAATTAGATATTTTAAATTTGAGAAGATTTGAGCTGATTAGTTTTTGTCTTTGAGAGACTTTTGTTAGTCGTATAGATTATAACAATGCAATAGTACAGTGTCTGATTAAGATTTTTTTTACATGTTCTTTAATCCATTGATATCCGACCAATGTTGGACGATCATTGAAAACCAAGAATAAAACTGAGTAGTAGTTTCATCCTTGTATAGGACTCCTCAGTAGGGCACATCCTCGGCCCTGCGAAAGGGAATCAAACCCATGACTTGTAGTCTCGTTCGTCAACCACCGAGCCAGAATCTGATGGTGCTAACATCTAAGTAACTGCAACCATTCCTATTCGTTTCTTACTTGCGGAGTCATGGATGTGCACTTTTGAGGAGTTACATACTAGCACGAAGTGACAGTCCAATGATTCCATTATTCTAATACAGTACAATCTAACATTAAACGGTTTATAATTTCCACAATCTTATAGTTGCATTCCATTTACATTCAAACTTTTAACATCTATCTATCTTGAGTATAGATAATTCCTTCATAAGACAGAAAGATTCGTAGCACAATACTGATGAATAGTCTCTTTGCAGATAAAATACAATGGTGTTTCATTCCTATTGATTTCCGACAGTTTGTTGGATAATTCTTAGACAATTATTCTTTTTTTAAATTATGATTATTTATGTTATAAAACTTTTGGTTTAGCGTCTAGTGACCCAGTGGAACACAGGCGGTCAACCAGCATTTTCCAACCCTCTCTCTCCTTTCAGTGACTCATCAGGAATGCTCTCTGATCCCGCTACTTTGTAGCTCTTGAATTGCCTGTTGGCCATTCTGACTGCTAACCAAATAAGCATACCTTGGTATATATTTGTTAACTCAATTCGTGTTAGTCAATAAGAGAATAAAATTTGTATATTTCATGCATTCATTGCTCTCGCCCACCGATAAAAACACTTGGATTAGCAGATCGGAGCATAAAAGCTTACCAACTTCGTCATACTAAGTTCAAAGTGTATTATGTGGATTTTGGTAAAGGAAATAGACATTGGGTAAAATAATACGAGGTAGACATACACACAATCACAGATAATGCGAATATACATAGTAATTCAAGGTCTTGAAAATACGATTACCATTACCTAATGAAAACAATCGAGTTTATAAGAATATCTAAACGACGTAATAGTTTGTCTGTGTTAGTATACTCTGTCCAGAAACTAGGAGAATTCGTATCAAGTGAATTCATGGTACTAAACATACCCTTACAATCGACTATTCATTACTATCATGAGTTTATCGTCTTAAACTTACTTGCATTAATAATCGTTGAGTTGGACTTTTTACAAGTTGAGCTTGTGATGCTGTTAGACCATGTGGATGACCTTTCTGAAAAATACAAAAATATTGAGTTTTGCAAAAGAATATACAAACTTTTAGAATTTTAAAACAAATCAGTTCAATGACTAATTGGTTATTCTTGGATTTCAATGTGAATTACATTCATGCATATAGTTCGTACTGGAAACTCTGACTTCTAACTCGAAATCTAAATTCCAATTACTTGTATTATTCTTGTAAACCTATAGTAAGAGAGGCATATTTTCTCAAAGACAATTTTGTGTCGATCATTGGTTATGTACAAATTACGATCTCACGAAATCGTCACTTTACATGGAGAAAAAATGTGAAAGTTAGCGATTTTCTAATAACTGCACAAGAAGTTATTAGAATCGGGAAACATGAAACCTTGGAATATTTCATCCAATTAGCATATGCTATGATGACTTCTTGAAAGTTGATAGATCACATTTACAACAGTGGAGAATTGATTAAGCAACATGTTTTCAAACTTAAATGATTATCAAATGAACAAATGAATTAAGCTTGTTTCGCTTTAGTGCCTCCACATATATTCGGGTTCGCTTAAATTCAATTTGGTTAAGCCCTTTCGATTAATTTAGTTAACCAAGCCATTTGTATAACAACAAATTATGTGTACCATTCGTTCTTATTATTATCTGGTTTGTATGAGCTCACGTGACTTGTCCCACTTGTCTTTTGACCTTGTCAACCATACGTCGCTTTTATTCATGTTTGTGCATGTTTATCTTGTTGGTCACATAGCTGTCTTATTTTTATCTGATTATATATTCTTTGTCGTGCTCTGTCTCTTGGACTTGGCTCACTAACCTTCTCCACATCGCTTCATCCGTCCATTCGGCTATTCACTCGCTTGCTTGCTTTCCGGCGCTCGCATGACGATTTTATCCTTTAGTGCTTGTAGTCTGCTGTTCTATTTGTGGTGTGTCAAAACTAAACGTATGCAACACTTTGTGTTTACCTTCTGATTTATAAACCTTCAGACGCGATTTAGTAACGATTGTCTGGACGAGCTAATCACGAAGAATAAGAGCACTCAGAAATCGGCCACCACACTCTGTATTTGAATGAAGCGTTATCACAACTTTTGTTCAAGTTCAAGTGTAGAACTCAGTGGAGATAATAGAAAGAAACTAGAAAGTCAGTATTCAAATAGAAAACTTATCACAGAACTATCATTTCAATGTTATTATTACTTGGAAACTTTCAATGATATGGCTTAAAACCGTTCTCAATGTGGTTGATACATTCAATTGTTTGTCTTCTCTTGAATTCTAATAATCTTCTGTATTCCTCATGACCTTCATCTTTCTTTGCTCACAGTTATTTCACTGGTTTCTACTTCTCAAATCATATCTTCAAACTCAAATGTTTTCCATTACCACTAATACTTTCACAATCTTTAATACTACAAGATTTGAATTGACGATTCCATCTCTTTGTGTTAACCTGGTATAGCGACTTACACTGATCTACGTATGTACCTAGCTGTACATTGCAGATGACTGACTGATTACTTACAGTAGACTGAGATATTTATTAAATAAATTGAGTGAATGAAGATGACGTACTACTCAAAAGTTATTTATCTATTTGCTACTCGTCAGCAATTGAAGCCTTGACCATTGATTTGGAGAAACCGAAATTCGTATATTTAATCACTATCTATAACATAGTGTTAATCTGTCAGTTTTTGTAAAGCCATTACAACTTATCTTTTACTTTAACTACCTCACTGTAGGACAGACTTGATCTTATTATGTGATTACGGACTAAATGAGTGTATGATGCTGACAAGTTAACTAGTTAGGTTGGTAATCAATTTTCATTACATAACCTTTCAAGACATAAATGACCTCTCGCTTCCGGCTTTATGAATCAAATCCGATTCTCGTAAAAGCAAAACAATTTGTTGACAGAGAGACAGGGAGTAAATAAATCTGACAGGGTATATTTACAACCGCATTTGTATGTATGTGTGAATTGAGTTAAACTCTTTCACAATTCACGTCCACAGACCCAAGAAAAATGTGTTCGAAACTTTAAGCTTTCTCTTTCTACAACGAACTTTAAAGTATTAAATTCAATCTTTAGTATATGTGATGAATAAACACTGAGCTCAAATATTAAAACCAGATGGAAAACTGAGATATTTGAAGACGACACAGTTTACTAATAAAATATGTACACCGAGTCTATCGATTTCTATTAGCATAACAACCAGATTATAAATTATCCTCTCTCTTATAAATCTTTCGATCTTCCGAACTGATACTCTTCGATTGTGAATGACACTCTGTTGTATACTACTACTACTAAGCCATATTATGAGTAGTATCCAGCACAAAAGGAGTAAATTTTCACGGGAGAAAGAATCAACTTACTAATTCCGCAGAACATTTATGCTTTTCAACTTTATTCAATTCATTAGAATGCATTAATGAATGTATATAAGGTTGATAATATGGAAATCGTTTACCAGTTGGTGATAATTGACGTTTGATATTTTTTATTCTCTCTGAATTCCATTGACGATTCGGTGGTGATGATGATGATGATGGTGAAGATGGTTGTATGGATTGTCTATCAAAATGATCCGATTTACATGGACTAATGGAACGTGTTGGCAATGGTGGTGTTTTTTGATCATTCATTGATGGCTTCATGTGTGAATATTGTGATGATGGAATAATTGTTGGTGTAATAGTTGGAGTATTGGTATCCATTTGTTGATTTAAATATTTTGACGACGCATTTGGATTAGTTTGATGAATAGCATCACGTTGATACTGATGATGATGTTGATGATGATATGGAGGTGTAAAATCATGTGATCTATTGACAGGATTATTAGATAATTTTTGTAGATTATTATTATTATAATTACTGCTAGACATGGTAGTTTTGTCTAAATTTCCCGGTTTATTTATATTATATAAAAATGTTTTTAATGAATCACTTAAACGTGAATTTTCTTCCTTGAAATAAAGCGGAAAAAAAAGAAAACACAAATAGGTATGAGTTAAATAAAAAAGAGAGGTTAAGGTTGCTTATGTTGGCCAGACAGCTATCAACAACAACCCACTGTGGGAGAGAACAAACATGACTCCGATGGAGGAAGAAATCAAGAAGAAGCGCTTGAAGTAGTGGATAAGACACACATAGAAAAAAGCACCCATCACAAGACAGGAACTGACTTGGAATTCTCAAAGTCAAAGGAATGAAGGAGAAACAAAGAACACATTAAGCCGAGAAATGGAGACAAACATGAGAAAAATGAACAAAATTTGATAGAACTGGAAGGAAAGGCCCAAGAGAGAACAGGCTTTAGTCTATTATGGGTAACAGGCGTAAGATAGTAAGGCTGTTCCTTACATAATATTGAGATGATGGAGAAAATTGTTAGTTCCAATGGATGATGATGGAGTTTCGTTCTTTGAGCTGGATGGTTTGGTAATGAAGTAGTTATTTCTTTCCTGAACAACAATATCAGTACAAACTTCAAGTAGAAGTGAAATATTTCAGATACTCCATACATGACTTCCATCTTGTCTGGTCGAACTCAATATTGATTGGCCAGTTTTGACCTTTAATTTGATGCTTTCAACCTCTCTCCATTTTGATTGTATACCTGCTTGATATGATTCTTCGTCTTATACTTATCTATCATTTTTATCATTCATTGATAGGTTGGATCGATTTTGTTGTTTTTAGATTGCCGTTTGACCTGAATACTAAGCTACTAGAAATTATCTGGTGTCCCTCTATCCAAAGATTTCAATATTGTCCCAGTCGAATGCAAATCCACAGATGTCCGCTATGTATTACAGCTATGTATTTCTAGTATATTTCGTAGTATATTTAGGAAAAACACATTCGACTGTCCCGTTGCACAAGTCAGTGACTATCGAGAAACTTAGAAGTTAAGTGAATGACGTGATGGCGTTTGAACCGAACAGCTTTGGGTTCGAGTTTCGAAGCGAATAGCAACTCTGAGATGCACCTACATTCAGCTTTAATACAATTCCGAAATAAGACGAAATGCGCATCGTGCTAGCCACATTCTATTCTTTATAGATAAACTTTGTGTTTGGTTTATTAAATGTTTGCTTCCCTATTGATTTTCTTAATGATTTAACCTTTATGTTTATAAAATGACCTCTGTTTATTTTCACCTAGGAAAACTTTATTGTTTACTGTATAAACATTTATCATATTTGTCCTTATTTGTCTAGTCTGTTCTAACTTTGGATTCACACAGTAAATAGAAAGATATGTATCCCCTGCTTTCTTGCGTGATTTCAATAGTATTTCAGAAAATAAACAATACATCATTGGAAAATGAAGATTTATTATAAAAATTGTAACATCCTATGTTATTAATTAACTTATTCACATAAAGGAAAAGACCACAGAACACACTGCACCAAGAATTTTAAACAAATATCAAGAGAAAGAAAAAGCCCTTGTAAACAGCTAGAGAGGGGAGTTAAGGAGAGAGACTTTGTGGGATAGTGCTGGTCAGAGGCCTAAGCTCCATTAGTGGCAAGTTTAAAACAAATAAATTTTTTCAATCGTTCATAAAAATAGAACAAATTTACTAATAATGTGAGATAGTTTCAAAGATGATAGAATTTTTACAAACGACATCACGAACAAATTTGAGCTGAGTCACCATTGGTAACTTGAAAGCACTGAACAGCTGTTCTGTTCTAATCTGGATCACCTATAAGCCCCGACATGAGAGCAGAGCCTAGGGTCAGTCGGTGGAGATTGTCAGATTATAAATTAGAAGTGTGAGATTCATGGTATTATAGGAAATTTCATAGTTTAACAACATGCATCCACAACCGCACCATGAGGGGTCGAACCTAGGACTTCCAGTCTTGTATCGAAAGCTTGATCTTCCTATTAGTAACCCTACACTGAATGGTTCATGTCTCTATCCTCAGTTAATTCACCCTAAGCGTAGGTGGTACTTTGACGTGGTGGTCAGATTTGCCTGTCTTATTGGCCCAACGGAGCTATATTGGCTGGAACGTATGTTCCTGTAGGTTCTACCTTGCCAGGTAGGTCGATTGAAGAAGGATGAAACTAAAAACAGCTACTCAATGTCTGAGGGTGAAGTCGTACTGCTGACTGTAGAGGGTTGTGACAGCAGTAAGGTGTTTCCATCGAACAATCAACTTCTGTGGTGATAGTGCCTTCTCACAAAGAAGGGAGGGGTTAGTAAATGTCGACCCTAAAAATGGCACACCTCACCCTACCTCACGGATTTCCGTCTCCAGCGGTAAGGCCATTCGAAGAGCGGAGCCGTGCGTGGCCGCCCTCAAGCAGTTGTCCCTTAAGCTCTTCAGTCACGCTTCTGGGTCGCTAAGGCCATACTAACTTCCTTTTCGGGTTCCTCAACAAATACCCTTCTACAGTGTGGGCAGCCGGTAAGTGACATCCGCCCTCATACCCATAACAACACACTAGACCGATTCGGTCACAATCAACTCCTTCTCCTATCTTCAAGATCAACCTTTCTCTCATTCCTCTGCCACCTCGCGCCGCTGATGCAAACGTTTTGAGTTCACCAGACGTTGTCTCTCTTCTCCTGAAACTCTGCAATAAACTACATGTTGGGGATTTCGATGTTCGAGCCTTGGGTCAGATAGGGCATAAGGCTTTCGTAGCTAGGATTTTAGAATCTCGCGCCATCGATATATGCTGCGTCTCACATTAAACATTTGCTTATGCGCTGTACAACTAAACGGGACAGTAGGAACAGTAGGGACATTCGCCGTGGCTCTTCGTAATATGTACCTACGCTCCCGATTACTGCATTTCAGACGAAGTAAGAGATGAGCTTTACAGAAATCTTTCTAACCATTTTCAAAAGCTATGCTCTCTGATATAGCAATAGTGACTGTTGACTTTAATACTCAAGTAGGTAGAATGAGCGAAAACGAAAGCCAGCTGGGTGGATCTTACTGTGTTTCGGCTGATCACAGAAACAATGGCGATCGACAGCTGCAGCTTTTCTCAGATAGCCACCTGTTTCTAGCGAATACTAACTGTAATAATCAGGAAAAACACCTTTTGAAATGGTGACACCAAAGAGCTAGCTCGAGAAAGCAGAGTGGTTTCCATCCTGGATGTGAATGTACGGACTAGATATTCACTTTTCGTCAGGTCCTGGAACATAGACACATATTTCGGCGTAACATAATTGGTGAATCCCTTGGCCTGATGGTGGCATTTGACTCTGTTAATCATGAGGCTCTGTGGCAGTATTTGTTACGGAAAGAAGTACCAGAGAAGCACATCAACATTATCCAGGCCCTACACTCGAAAACTACTGGCTTATAGCGAACTTTCATCGGAACTGATAACATCAAGTGATGTTTGTCGAGGTTGTCAATTTTTCCTATTTTTATACTACTTTGTCATAGACATGCTTTTAAAGATAACACTATCTTCTGATTTTTCAGGTGCTGAACTTTTAACAGGAGATTCGGTTGCTGACTTAGGATACTCCGATGACATAGTTTTATTTGGTGAAGACGCTGACGAAATAAAGAGTGTTCTTGACACCCTAGGCAACAATGTGAATCCCACTCAAAATGTTGCTTCAAGATTAGTTGCATTGGCACCTGAACTAGTGGTGATACGGAGTGGAGCAGTTGAGCGTATTGACCGCTTCACTTATCTTGCGAGTTTCGTCAGTGCTGATGGCTTAATGTCTTACGAAATCTCAGCTTGGAAACAGAAGGCTCAACTGGCTTTTGCGAACTTGCGTCACTTATAGCGTAGGAGAGATATACATCTTCTAACCAAAAGACGTGTGTACTGTGAAATAATTCGTTCCATGCTACTTCACGGGTGTGTAACATGATCACTAAGGCTAGAGAAAATTTTTTTTGGCTGCTAGTATTCGATCACAGGTGTCTTTGAAGCTTCGTTTGTGTATGCTGTTACCAGGAAAATGGTACTATGTGAGAACAGCAAATCAACTAATGACGTAATGAATGTCTATCTGTTGAGGTGTTTAAGACATGTATTACTAACGCACCGACGAGTGATGATGCTCTATGTATGGGTAGGCTGAGAGAAAGCTAGCGTTGGCTAAACCAAAACATGTCACAAATCACTGAAGTCACTGACAGGTGGTCGGGTCCGCGAGACAATAGTAACCGATTGTTAAAGATTTAGAATAAAGTGACTGAAAATGGTTTTATAATGGCGCAGGTGCATCCATTCTTTGTCTTCTCTAAAATTCCAATCTTCCGAATTCCTCATGACCATTTTTCACTTTTTTTTAAATATATTTCACTGGGATGTCTTTTTCGAATCATATATTCGATTCCTAATCTTCTCTTTTGCCGTACGTACGAAGTTCTACGTTGTAGTTGATTGAATGATAATGGCCACTACTGACTCAATGATCAATCAGTCGTAACAATGATCCATTCAAACTATGCAAACTAAACAAATCACAAAAACAATTAATAAAAATCTATTTTTTTAAGGCAAGAAATAAAAAGAAAATATATTTACCTCCAATAAATGAATTGCTTCTTCTTTAATTTTAATAATACCTCGTAGTTCTGAAATTTCAGCATTTGATTTTTTCGCTTGTCTAAAATTACACATGTGAGATTTTTTTATTAAAGAAAGAAACAATGGAGAAATAAGAAAATCTGAAGTGATGAGCCAATCAGAAGTGACCTAATGAGAAGGCTATCTGACGACCATCAGAAAAGGTCCTAAAGAATGATTACAAGTCATTAGTCAAGAAATGGCTTTCTATTTTATGTATGCAGATGAGAAACTCTTCATATTATTTGATAGCCAAGTAGACTTTTACTCTTTTTCTAACTTGCTCAGGAGACCAGTTTGGGGGTCCAGCACATATTGCGTTCAGAGCTCAAACACTGCATACATCATAACGATTTCCCACAGAGATAAATGAAATAATATGGTTTTATTTTTTCAGACAAAAAGGTTACCGAATACCATTAAACAATGCTCAATCCATAAATGATGGATAGATTGAAAATACTCCAAGTTATTTAATATTTTATATTTCCCTTGATTAGCTTATTTTGTTTCTATGTTTACGAATCATATCATCCAGTGTTTAGTATGTCTTTTATTATTACTAATACTGTTATTATTTCAATTCATTTGTTAAGCATCTTGATTTTATCATTCACGGCATGCTATTGGGCTCAGGTTCGATGCCTGGCACTTCCAAATCAGACTAAACTGACTGTTGGTCACGGGCTAATATGTGACCCTATCTACTGATGTTGCTACATTGCATTGTGCATTGGGCCTCTGTATCAAAAGCTCATGTAGTTACCTCAGTGGTACTAATATGTTCAGTCCACTAGTCTTGTTCTAGCTTTCGACCAAAATAATTAACCTTTTCTGCCTGAGTCATTCATTGTTCACTCGTCTTTCGACTTTGTCAATTATTCTCCTATATCTTGGTTTCTTCTATTGGAATGTGTGTCTAGCTTGTTTTTTGTCTGACTATAAATACTTGGTCTTACTTCATCGCACTGAGTTGGCTCGTCTCCTACTCCGCCTTGTTTGGCTTTGCCTGTTCACTGTTTATCCTCAATTCTGTCTGTCTAAATGAATGCATGAAATAAATTCATCCGTGAAACCGTATTTGGATTCTTACTACCGCCGTCGCACAAACGAGGTTTGTCAAGTCTGATATACTAGGAAATGGAAGAAAAGATTTATTTCATAGCACATCTAATTGTTCGTAAATAAGGGAGCTAGATCGCGGACCTTTGAAGTGGTCAGCCCTACTTCGAATTTAATGCAGCTGCTAACCATCCGAAAAAAAACTATCTGCTTCGGTTTGAACAGCCAGGCAGTATCCCATCTCACTCGCGAATTAATTGGCTTATATTTCGCATAAATATTTACGTTTTCCCAATTTTTATGTGTTTAAATGAAGAAGTTATGATCACTATTTAAGTTTCGAGTCATATTTGAATTGAGCATAATAGAGAAGTAGGGTTAAGAAAATTACTGTCCACAAAATCCCTTCAGATAAAACGTAACTAATTATAAGAATATGATGTTAATGTAAATTGTATTAAATTCCTTACAAAAAGTGTTGTTATTTTACAAAAATCAATGCTTACCTGTCCAATAGATAGCCGAAATCAGTTTGCTATTGCAAGTGAAGGTAAGAAAAATCAATAAATCAATCAACGCTTGGCATCAGTCATAATAGAATTAATAAACTTTACTGTATCATAAATATTACGCAACTAATTATGTCACACATTATAGATAATAGTTATGCTATTTTTATTAGCTAAATCGTAAAATAATCTTAACTAGACTATCGCTGAGAACCAGGATTCCTTAAACAGCTATTCTGTCGCAACGTGGATCTACTCAACAATGTAAATTCTCGATCGCACAGTAGAGACTGGAACTCAGGAACTTCCGACACGTGCATATAAGTTCAATCTCTAAACCATCTGGCTGAAATTTTTTGATATACGTGTCGGACTTTAGTCAATACTGAATATTTCGCAACGTTCTTCGGTTGCCTATGGTGAGTAATTTTCTCATATTTGATACTTTTGTGCACACCAGTAATCACGGTTTCTACATCAAACTTCTGGAATTGAATTTTAAAACAACCAATCAGTGAGAAAGTATTAATTATTAGCAAACTGAAGTTTGTAGGAACTCAATCAAAAGTTGATTGATTAGGCTAACTAGACAGTCGTACAACAAGAATTCATAGAAAATAATCCGACAGAGTGTATGGACCACACAACTCATGAGCGATGTGAGGTCAAACAAACAACATATTTAACTTCAATAGAAGAATAAAAACAATGCAATTTAATCTTATGAAGATAGTTAATCACTAAAAGACCGCCAAAACAAATTAATTTAAGTTATTACTGAAATCGTGAGTCAGTTATTGTCAAACCACCATCAGAAACCTGGAAACATTGAGAGACGGCCGTTTCATCCTGATATGGAGCTTATCAGCAGTGCGTAGTTACAACTCCTGCCACCTGCAGGATTCGAATCAAGGACCTTCGGTCTTGCACTCATACGCCTAACCGCATAGCTTAAATTAGGATACTCACTTATACATGAAATAGACATAGATGTTATCATCAAAATCGATGCTATCAAACTAAACCATTTTTCTCATCGAATCGAACAGTAACAAGAGCTATCTTAATGAGCTAAAAATCATTCAAAACATTTTATATGATAATAGTTTCTAAATTCCATATTTTAACACTGAATAACTGTATACAACTGATTATTTAGTTCATATTTATTATCAAGTCAAATAATTAGGTAATATGTGTAGTGAGCTAAATAAATATAGTGGAAGTTTTCGAAAACGTGAACGATTACTAATAGATGTCCTTCTACTTTACTTCTTTATCCCCATATCACTCTTAAATAATAGGAGCAATGTATGAATAAAGTTTGTGTGTGTACAATAAACTATCTTATTTATTAGTTTGTGAGTGGAGAACTTTTGGAAAACATGTGTAGTATGTGTACTAATATGTTGAGCCCACAAGGTTTGTCCTAGTTTGTGGAAAACTGATTGACCTTTTCTGCTCCAGTTACTATTCCCACGTCTTTTGACCTTGTGAATTATCAGCTTATAAACTTGGTTGTTTTTACTTGAGCTCGTTCATTACCTAGCTAGCCTATTATTTTTGTCTGACTATAAATACTTAGTTATGCTTGATTGCATGGAGTTGGTTCACTCTCCATCTCCACTTCGCTTCTCTATGCTTTGCTTATACGCTTTGTTATCTCATGTCTGTCTTGATGAACGATTACATGAAATAAACTCATTCAAATGAATCCATATTTGGCTTCTTATCACTGTAGTCTCACAAATGGTGTTCGCCTAAACATGATATACATAATTAAAAGAAAGATATATTTCATATCATGTCCGAATCGGAATCAGATCGCCGGACACTCAACATCCAAAATGACGTAAAAAAGCAAGTAATAATGCGGTCAGAATTCGACATATAATCTGTTATATTTCAACAAATGTTTACTACTTTTTACTGACTTCTAAAATTTATATCGAAGAATTCTTGTGGAATCCTAATAGTAACTAAGTATTTTTGAGTGACAACTCTACTCTTTTTCCCCCAGAGATTATCTCGTATCAGCAGACTAAGAAATAAGTGCTAATCTCTAGGCCTGAATGCTGTGAAATCTATCCACAGTAAAGTCACAGACGCATTCTATGTTTGAATTAATTAAGATAAGATCAGATATTACCAAAAAGAACATGGCCTAGCCCAACCAGCTAGAGAGATTGTATAATCCACAAACAGTCCTGGGAGAAAGAACGAATTGACAAGCATTCAATTCAAGCGTAATTTATACCGTACCAAAAGTGTCCTTGAAATAGTTACAAAACAGAACACCAAAATATACCAAACAGTGAGGTCTGAGTTTCTTTCAAGTGGTAAACACGAGTCAAACGTAATCAGTAGCGCTTTCGGGGAGAAAAAATCGGAAATTCAAATTTCGGAAAATAAATTATGAAATTAAGAGGTCTACCAAGCAATTTCTAAGGACTTTGCATCCTCAACAACGAATACACCTATGTATTCTCACATTAGAATGACAATAGTTTTTCCATAGTTGGTTAATTAAAGTCATTTCATGAGGCATTTTAGAAAAAGCGAAATTTCCACAAAATTTCTAAAGACATAATTGAAATTTTAATCACTTACTGTACTTTTAGATGCTGTTGTACGTAATGCTGAAGCAGTACGTACAGGACTGGAACCATCTGATTCAATCTAGATAAAATGAAAGGGAAACCATACATATATATACACACACACTACAAGTAAACAAAATGAATAAGGTGGACAGCTAATAAGCAAGGCAGCATTTCTACAATTGAGGAACATCTGGAACTCAAAACAACTGCCTGTCAACCAACACCAAAGTAAGAATATTCAAGACAGTTCAAATGTATGGTGCGGAAAGTTGGCAAACAATGAAAGCTATCATCCACCAGATACAGATGTTTATTAACATTTATCCACGCAAAATACTCTAGATCCATTTGTCAGACACCATCAACAATAACCTACTGTAGGAAAAAACAAACCAGATCTTAACTGAGGAAGGAATAAGGAAAAACGATTGGAGTGAAATCGCTTTTCTGCATCACGCGGTAATCCTTAATTTGGAATCCTCAAGGCCAAAAGAAAAGAGGTGGGAAGAACATATCGTGCCGAAATTTGGTGGCAAACATGAAAAGAATGACCAGCATTTGGGTAGAACTGGAGAATAATGCTTGGGACTGGGTAGGTTGGAGATTAATCAGAAATTCGGATTCATCCTGATTGCTAGTCTGTTTATCTGCTGTGATGAATCAATAGACTTATGCTAGCTGGGAATCTTGTCATTTTAGTTTTAGTGTCAGACAAGTTGATTTCAAAATCATAAGTTTGCCAATTGAAAACTTAAGTTCTGATGATCAAAACCCTATTGTTAGCTGTTCCAAAGAATATTACCAGTTAGGTTTTTTCCAGAGAAAATTAATTTTCTACCAGTGTTATCTCCAAACATATAAATAGCAAAGGTCAAAGAGTCTGTTTTATAGACCAAGCACCTCCCAATGATAGATGATTGTACAACTGATCACACAGACACAATCTTTCTTTAACTGCTGGCATCAAGCTACCGAATCGACACAACAATTGAAACTAATCCAGTGTCCTTCTCAATTCTTACAAGAAGAAATATTCACTATAGCTTGAAAATCTCATGTGATATCAACAGTTTGATAATTTTCAAATAAACGCTGGTTAAAATTATCAATATTTTCACATCATTTTCAATTTAATGATAAGAATATTATATTGGTGACCCAAAAGATATGTTTTTGCGGTAAAAATTATTATTCGAGTAGGTTATCTATACTACTATTTATGTTTTAAGTATTCACTTACAAGTTTCGATAACATATTCAATTGTGATTTCAATTGTTGTACTTCATTCATTGAATCAATGATATGTGGTAATTCATTAGTTGAATGTCCAGTTTTCATTGAATATTGTGTATTTCTATCATTTGGTTTTATTGATTGCGTTGAATTAGGGTGATTATAATAACCTTTGGAACCAGAATTCAATTTCGGTAAAGCCGATCGAATGTTAATTGGTGTATTTGATGAACAAATTTCTCTGTGAAAAACAAAACATAAAAGTTTTAGTTTAAAGAAAATTTTAAAAACATGAAATATTGAACAATGATTTTGTTCTAGTATGTAACTGTTTAGTAGTATGTATCAACAATACATGCAAGAATTGATCTCATGACCTTTTAAACCACTGTTTCAATATCTATCCCTTTATAAATTCAACTAATCATTTTGCTGTATTGCGCAACCATCTTAAATTGTTGTTAATAAGTGACTACATCACTCGTTTACTAATGCAGCTTCTCACAAGAACCCCAGGAATTACTTCATAATCATTATTCTTAGCGTCAGCAGTTTTTTGCGGATTGTTGAATATCATAATATACTGACCGTATGAGTCAACGTAGAATGTCAAATATTGAAATTATATCCACATAAAGCTCTCATTAATTTTACTTCAATGTTGAAAATCTAAGTGTATTATATTTTCTGTAAAATATCAAATGTTATGACACGTTTTTATCTTAAGGCTTCCTGATCAAAGCTGGAAGGAACCTACTTTGGTATCAAATATTGCATGAATGTTAACTAGTCTCTATCAAAACCAAGATCCTACCCCACCACGTACTATCATCAAAAAGCCTCATGCCCGTTCACAATCAACTTCTTCAGTGTGAGGGTAAAAATATGTTGTAGTAGATACACCACAGGCCGTATTGATGATGATGTGTTTCGCTCCTCTTAAGGTTGGTAGCATCATCATCAGAAGACTCTGCATTTTGTCAGCGTCTTCACCAAGTAAAACTACGTCATCAGCATATTCTAAGTCAACAAGCGTATCTCCTAGTAGAAGGTATAATCTTGAAAATTAGGAGGTGTAGAAAGGATTTATTGTAACCGATTTGGTCTCGTGTGCTTTTACAGGTATGAGGGCGGATGTTGCTTCTTGGCTGATCACACCTTGGAAGGGCTTTAGTTATCAGAAGGGACATCGGCTTCGTGACTTCCGAAGGAACTTGGATTTCATCATGAGATGTCATAACCCTTCTAAATGAAGATTTTCTAACTCCCAGGGAAGAGTTTGAATGGCTTGAGTTGTCATTTCTGGTTAGCCTTTTTTTAGCGAGTTAGTTTTATACGGAGTGGGGTCACCAACTACAAGACCAACTTTCCTCCTTTATCCGGGATAAGGGTCGGCAGTAGCCCCAGTAGGGCTCCAGGCGGATATTAGTGGTAGTGTAGATCAAATAAAAACAACCGAGGTTTTGAGCGAATAATTGACAAGGTCGAAAGACATATGAATAATGACTCTGACAAAAAACTCGAACAAACAATGTAGGCTCAGTATATTGGTAAACATACTAAGAATTCGTATTATTTAGTTCAAATCTTTGTTCTCATTCTCTTCAAGATGATAAAAGGAACTATGTGTATGAAACAGCTAAAATCTCTCATCAAAGTAAGCATTTGATTGTTATCTTTGATATTCATTTTTACAATAATTATATTCTTATCGAATAAAGCGAAGTTCGAACTGATCGCCTTAAGGCAATTTTATATAAAAATTAATAAAGCTCCCTTAAATAAAAGTTCAAATAAACATAAGGAAATAATTGTAAAAATAAACGGAAAGGTTGAACGTTAACATAATATGTTTCTTTTATGGATAGTTCTGTGGGATTTGTCTTTGCTGATGTGTATATACGTTAAGAAGATGTTGTGTGAACTCATCGGTGAGGTGACTCTGGGCAGGAGATATGTGTTAGTTAGATGTGATAAAGATTTCAGTTACTAGATGAATTCACCAGTGTACAGGATGATATTTGAATGAGCCATACTGTTAAGTCGAAGGGATGATACAACTGTAAAGTGCTTAGTTCAAAGAAAACCAACCTGGACAGGACAATATTTAAAAATTCCCACAGTTCTGTTCACTGCAACACAAGCAAGGTTTGATAAAATGACTCTTCAATATGACTGAAAGAATATGTACTACAGATACACTCGATGACGATAGTAAACTCCTTACTAAAACACAGATTTCAAACGGTTTTGAATTAAAGTTTCCAAGCAGGTGTAGAAGTTAGGTAGTACAAAGACCTCGTTGATTTTACTGAGCGGAAAAATGTGTATATCTATCTCTCTGCCACGTAGAAGTGAGAGACTAAAAGCAACTATCAAGATAACATGTTACACAACTAAATTGGTTATAATTGAAAGGACTAAGCCTTTAATTCTACATAAGCTTAGACATTGGACGAGCGATTACATCACATCCCATTGCATTTAGCAGTCTACATTTTTGTGTGGATACATACATAGGAAGGAGCAATCGGACAATCCGATCAAGTGTTATAGAACATATGCCTAAATGGCTCGAAATTAGTTAGTGACCCGATAAACATGGAAAACAGAAGACCATGTTTACCGATAGCAAAATACGTAATCAAAACCGGGCATAGAATTGACATCAATACAGCTTTTAAAACGTTTAAAAATGACCAAGGATGAATTCCTAGGTTTCTAGAATCCTTGACTAAACTTAAATTCAAACCCCTTCATTTTGTGTACATAAACAAGTTGTCATAAACTTAAATGTATTCCAGTATCTTTATGTCATTTTATGGCCAGAGAGTATTACGATAATTTCCTATCCTTTCCTTACTACTTCCTCTGCTTTACTTTTACAGTTATCGCCTTTATGCTTACCTAAACTTTTATTGACCTTTAATGACAAGTGTATATTTATGTGTGACCCGATTGTTTGAAAGGTATAGCGCGAATACATCACATTTTCCAGATCAAGTCCGTTTTCTAATTATTCAATCAAAATTTATAAAAGGGACTAATTGCTTAGTAAATAGTAAATTTTAGTTGAATATTACGCATGATAGATGTTAAACGGTTTTAGTCATCTACAAATATTTCCTTGTTGAAATAATATTGATTGTCATATTTGGAATCTGTCAGCTAGATGTTCCTGTAACTGAGAGTTACTGCTTACTCCGAGACTTAAACCCGTACTGTTCACTTCAGACACCAACGCGTCATCCACTTAGCGAGTAGTTATCTGGACTCAATATCTAAGCTGCGTTATAAGCGAATCGTACTAGGCTCAAGTTCTGAAGTGAACATCAACTCTGAGATGAAGGTACATCCATGTGCAGACGAGTCCCGAATGGGCTGAAAAACGCGTTCTAGATTCCAAGGTTAACCACTTTCCATCCCTGCTAATTATCTTTGTAATTTAATAATAGTACCGTGGTAATCCACACAGGATATGTGTCCGCCTAGACAGACTGTTTGAATTCAGTCCTGGCAACATCAATGGTAAGATTTGAAAAAACCAATACAAATGAACATTGATTGCTGTTTAAAAAATAGTCTTTGTTAAATTCTACATGAATCTATCAAACAAACAGTTCAGAGTGACAGAACAGTGAAAAAAATTAAGTAATTTCTAATTTCTAATTGTTGAAAATAAACACAGTAAACATTTTAAAATAATTATTTCAGTTTATATTGTTCATTGAAAAGACAAAATATAATTACATATTAGGGATAATACTGAAGAGGATTTAAAATATGGGAGTTCTACTCAAGAATACTGATAATCGTAGTTAATGATCATGTACACGAAACGATAGTAATAAGCTGAATAACCCGTTTGCAGTAATGTATGCTACTTAAGTAAATTATTTATTCCTTCTGCTAGTTTGTCATTCGCCGTCATTCGATTCTGAGTCCTGACATCAAACACAAAAATTATAGATCACTGACTACCATTTGAAAAACCTAAAACAACTGGACAGAGATTTTGTCCTAGTATGGGACCTATCATTGATGTGCGTACATGACTGCACGAATGCGGATCGAACCTCGGACTTTCGGTCTCACTCATAAATGCTCAACCCCTTGACCCGCGAACCAAAATTCAGCGGTGTTAATGTATAACCAAAATTAATCTACGGATACTGTGCAATCATTATCCACTGTCATCAGTAGATAACTGCCTCACATCTAATACGATTAAATTCCACTGGTCATGACTTCTCGAAAGAACCCCACGAATTCCCTCATGAAGCACTTGATAACTTTCATGATGACAAATGTAATTATGATTCAGGAGACCTATATATCGAAACTAATCACTAGTAAGTACGTCATAATTGTTGTTTATAGAGATGATTTGTTTAGAATTGTTTATTTTGAAGATCGTGGAACTAAATGAAGAAATAATGTCACTTATGTTTGAGTTTGTAACTTCTGTTTCAGTTCTATTGAGTATTCGCTGGGAAAGTTCAAACATATTTCCGGAGTGAAATATTCACAACGAATGGAACTAGTTCAAAGTTGACATATATATTTCAAATTTATTAGAGTCAAAAGTGTAACACCAGATCTCGACTGAATAGTTCTAATGTTGAAGCGTCCACCACGGGATCTCAAAGTCTTGAATCGAAGCCTATGTAAAGAATTCCGAGTACATACTACTCAGTAGTCCTTTACTAAAGCAAGGAAGTTATCTTTTCCTGTCTAGATCAATCTATTACACAACCAATCAATAAATAATACTTTTTGAAAAAACAACTACCTTTTAGACAGTACAAATTCTTTGGCTAATTAATCCTAAATCTATGCAAATGTACTAATTCCCTACTATTTTGTTTGTATATCTATACAAATGTCTCGTTTGTAGAGTTTAAATGATTTTTTATGCAGTTACGTTTGTTCATTATACATAATTATGTACTGCCATTCTCTATCCTTTCTCTCTCCCTCTCTCTCTCCCTTACTTTACATTAAGATGATGAAAAAAATATGTATAAAATCATTGTATTTCGAATAGTTTTTCACTTGTCAGAAGAGTAAAAATGCAGTGATTATTGATGAAAATCTTTTATCATCGGAATTCCCATTCTATCGAAAGCAACAATTTCGACTACTTTTATTGGTCAGGTAGAGTTACAAATGTTTTCGACTCTTTTTCTGCTTTTGTAATTTACCATAGTTTTTTTTTCACGTATTGTCGAGTTGTATTCG